ACAGTATGCTGCAATTTTATAATTTCAGCTTCCTATAGCCCTTGTCTCCGGGGTTCTATGATAATATCCTATTCTCACACTATTTTGTACATGCTAGGGTAAATTAACCTTGAGCATATAAGTAAGTTGCAGGGGCTTACTAAGAATTAACTACAACTATCACATCGCATTAAACGAAATAAGGTGAATACACCTCTTATAACTATAACTACGACAATAGAACTCTTTCTTATTATGCTGATCGAATAAGTTTTAGTCGTTCGCAAGCTTTACTCTGTGAGCTAATATATAGACATGATGAGAGTGCCGTTATCATCATATTTATCCCCCATATATCCTGATTCTTCCTCTTACATAGGACTTAACTGCTCATCTTTCACGACGTCAGGCCGCAGTGGCTCGTTGCTTACGCCAGGGCCTACGGCTAACTAATGCTGCGCGTGAACTCAAGCTTGGGAACACACAAGGACATTACGCCCCAACTACATTTTCCTCTTCAGATGCGGAAAATGCGGCTAATGCATTCGCAGCAGCTTCGTTGTCTTCTATCTTGGCGGACTGCCCGGAGAGCCAAATAACCGAACTGCTCAACTTTGATGTGCCTGGAACCAGGCACCAGATGCGATTTCTGGCAACGCAGTGGAATCATCTGAGGCGGGCTACCTATAAGATGGGCCGATGCCTAGCTCTCCGTCTTTTTAGCAGACAGGAAGCTCTCCTTAATGCGGTAGGCATACACCTGCAGCGTCTTGAAGAAGAGAAGTGAGTCATTTGTTTTTAAGTTTATTTTAAAGTCAATTCGCCTAGATTAGTCACTTAAGACGAATTATCCTTTTCCCAGGGCGAGCAGGGACACAACTAAGACGAAAAGAGACCATGCTCTTCTGCCTTCCATTAATCTTAACTCATTGAGTGCAGAGTGAATTTGCTGTGCGCCTTAGAGATTGTAATCAACTTAAATGCGTACGACCGATAAGAAATGAATCAGCTTTAGTTGCCATGACAAGTAACGTATAAACACGGGCCAATCCCTCCTTTCCACTTCTCTTCTGGTCTCCACTTCCTTCTGATTCATTAGCTTGTATAAATTACGAATCGACGTTTGTTTAACTATTCGGTACAGGAGAAAGGGGCCTGTTCGTAGAAAATGGAATTAAACTTTTGTTTGAATAATCCTAAATGAAAATTTTAGGTCCTAAACTAAACCTACATCATCACAGCATAGGCGAAAAAACCTTAGTCGTAATATACCAATTTCTCATAAATAAATATTTGTTATTTGCCTCTGTCATTTAGCTTTATGCAAACAAGTTAGATTATTGTATATATAATTAATCCTTAGAAAATGAATTGTGCCCAGCCCGACATGGCACCTTGAACTTTATTGATTGGACCACTGCTGTTGGAAGATTAAGGGAGATTATCTTATTATCTCTATAACTAAATTTGAGTGGAACATCTTTTTTATAATAATTACTCCTCGGCGCATATTTACTTGACATTAAAGGGTAATGGCCAGCCCCTGCCTGTAGATTGACAGGCAATCTCACAATCTTAAGCATACCTGACACTACCATTTAATTAAGACTAAGCAGCTAAATTAAAAATATTCCATATTAATACAACACATCAATCATATGATACAATAATATTGATCTCAAAGAGATATTAAATTATTCTGCCGGATTTGTTTAAAGGCTCAAAAATAACGTGGGTCCTATAGAACATCTACATGCATTCTTAGAGCCCATTTTAAATGGCTTGAAAAGAAGATTTGCTATTACCTGAAACCTTTCATTCTATAATGTATCACAAAAGTTTTTATAATACCTAACTTTGATTAAAATTGAGAGAAAAGAGCCCCTTTCTAAGTTTAATGCCTGCTCTGTACGTAGAAAGCATTATGAAAATGTTGTATGACGCTAGCACAACTGCCTTTCTCGACTTCGGCCCTTTTTTTACAAGTGTTAATTAGCCCCAGTCGAGGCCAAGACTTAACTCTTACTTTTGACAATAACTGAATTTCGATATTGATCGCAAATATAAATTCGATGTTAACAGCAGGTCTTCTTTTTATTCCAGATGCTTTTGGTACTCTTAATCTTATAGACTACCTTCCTCAATAACAGCTTTTCTAAGCTCCTTAAGCAGCTAGCTGCAGTCTTTATTCTGCCTACTGAATGCTAATATGGCCAATTAGCTAAGAGTTCATGATGTCCCAAGCATTTGTCTTTATGGCCATTGAATGCTCAGGTGGTCTACGTTTTTTCTCTTGATCCAATTATATTAATTTATTTAAATTATCATTGAGTCTCCTTTGACAAGCGTAAAAAAGAGACTCGGAGACTGGCTAAGCAACGCCACTATCTAGACTTGTGGCATGCATTTTGACACATCCACTACGTAGTATGAAGCTTATCTATACCAAGTTTCTGCTTTTATCTTACAATTCTGCTTAATCCTAACCTATGGTGCTACTTCTTTCATCATTATAGTCAGGATATCGCAACTTCATCTGGTAAGGGTTGAAAACCTACTGGTTTTCATGAAGCAGGTGTCGTTTATTTTGAGTCATCTTGAATAAGTGCAATCCAATTTAGCCGTAACTATGCTGAGGTTAAAATGAGCCGATATTGTCAGCATTCACCACTTCCACTGTTCCTAGTATAGAGTAAGGTCAGGGCTTTAGGTGGGAATGAAAGATTAGGTGTTTCGCATCCATATCTGGACTCTCCCAATCAGTTGACAAGCTACTCAAGGCAAAGGCCAAGACTTCGCCAGAAAGAGGCACTGAAGGTGCAGATGGCGCATACAGATGGCAAGAAACCTCGAAAAATAGCTTGACCTGACAAAAGAGTAGAGTAGAGCTGCAAGGCATCACACAGTAGACGTGAAATACAGTCCAAGAGAATTGAAGAGTGGTACAATCTTTGCCCCACCTTAAACCGCTTAGCTATGCTAAGAGGTCTCTATGGCACTTCCTAATGAGATAAAGCCATATTTTTCACGATTGAAGTCTATTATAAAGCCTGTTGCTGAATTTCGGTACATTTGGCAACCGCCACCCCAGGTTGCTATGACTGTAAGCCTTCTGGAATGCGGATGCATAAAAATGACAAAGTACGTCATTGTTCAAATATCAGTGTTATGAGAAGCAAAACGGCTGGGTTCGTCTCAAACCAAGCATAATAGCCCCCCTGAACACTATTTGCTTACGTGCTTACTATAACCTGCATTGGGATTATAAAAGCTTGTGAACGAATATCTAATCTCACTATTTTTACAATATCTTGAGCTTGGCAATGATTCCACGTGAATTCACAAAATGTCTCTTTAATATGCAGCTGTTTACATCATCTTGCATCGTTTAAACGTGTTATACCTCCTACTCTCTCGATAGACTTAACAGCAATAGGCAATTCTTGTGCGATAAAGCATTAATTTACTACTGGCTAACGGATGTCTTCGTTTCTAGCGAGCAATAAATTCATCCCAGTTCCCTTAGATCTGGGATAATGTTTAGCGTTACATCCACACTACAGTTGCTCTTAGAATAAACTGACTGCTTTGGGTTTCGCTATTATTTTAAATAGATTCTGGGATTACATTTGCTGTATATGACCCCTAGTCTGACTTGGACTCTAATATTAGATAGTTTAGTGCTTTTTGACTGCATTCTAGCGACCGATTCCATCAAGTGAATAGTTTGCTATACTTCTAATGATGGATGGGATCTGATCACCTTTTGGTTTATTCATTTGCGCATGACAAGGGTTTTAATATTCTCCTTTTCCCGATTTACCTGTTACTTTATTTCGAGTTTTGACTATAATCTTAATAGAATTGAGCTAGTTTAACATAACGGATATGGAAACGATAAGTACTAACGTAGCTATAGCTGTTTGCCTCATCTCGTGAATTATATAATTTAAGGCTCGTACGGCTCGTACGGCCTGATCTCGATGGAGAATATCTTACCAGAATGTCCTTCAGCGAAATTTCGAGGTGAATTAGCTTGTTTCTAGAATTCAGATTCTATGCGAGCTAGGCCTACTTTTGCCAATTAAGACCTGATTCTCCATCAACTTCGCGAATCAAAACATGCACAGCTAAGTCAAGTGTCACGTGTCATGTTGACCGACGGACTGTGGAAATAGTCCTGGTTTATGACAAATCGATTGGATGATGTATAGGCGTTGTGAAATCGTGTTAAGGTTAAAGTGTGGAAACGAGCAGTGAGTAAGGCTTTGGGCATGATATAACATATTTTAACCGGAGGCTAGTTTCATAAACATGATTACGAATTATCTGACTCTTTTAAGCCTTGATTCTACAAACGGGATGATCTAAAAGCGGAAAAGCAAGCCGAAAAGATAGTTTACTAAACGAACTTACCGAATTTGGCTCCAGTTTTGGAGATTGCTGTACGGGAATAATGTCGAGACTGCAAAAAATTGGTGAGCTATATAGAAGTATACGAACGACAGAGCTTGAGAACACATCAGAACGAGGTAGCTAAGCGCAAAATGGTCAAGCGGAGCCATTCGAGGCTAGCGAGGCAGACTGCCATGTTGACGCGACAATAACCAATGAGGTCGAGCTTATTCTTTGCACAAACTTCTTCTCATATGAGTTCGGAGAAATAGGGACGGCAAATCTTGCGATTCAACATAAACTGCTCATTGAGTCTACATGATTGAAACTCATAAAAATGGGCCACCTCTGGCTTGAGTTAAGTGTTTGTGTGTGACGAGCCGATTCCCCTGAGTTTAAATAATGTAGGCGAGTCCAAATGTGCCCTGATCTCCGATCGATACAATAAGTTGACCCATGCTAGGCCTCTGGACAGATTCCACTCGCCAGACGAGGATAGGGGCAAAAATGTGTCCTAAAACGAGGTTAAGTCATCGAAAGACCCGATTACGTGAAGTGGAGACGGAGCATCGTCTCCTCAAACGTTATTAAACCAAACCTAGCACTTGCGAACACCACGGTTATATTGACTAGGTCATAATGGGAGCTTCTAAATATAGTCACGTGCTAACCTTTGCATGCGGATTTGCACAAAACACTATTGACCTAGCCAATGAGCTATAGACGAATTTGGACCTTGACTACATATTCTATGACTTTGGACCATCCCGAATCGGGATGACTTGTTCTTAGTACGCCGATTTTGGCTATTTTAAGTATGATGACGGAAAAATGAAAAAAAAATCAGCATAGAGTGACTGGCCACGTGGCAAAAATTGAGCATAGTTTGCGCACTCAACTTCACTCGCACTCCGAAGAAGAAATACAAAATAATTAATTCATTAATCACAAAAATGCCTAGTCTCTAGGTGCCTTGCCCAAATAAATCCCCACTACACGTCTCAGCCCAGCCTAGTCGCTCTGCGAGATAATAATCAAACTCTCACAGGGAAACTTAGCTCCTTTCAGCGGTGGCAAAAAATGAAAACATCAAAAAGATTTAGCCGTGGGCTACAAAATTGTTGTAATGAGATGTATTCACCCTATTTCGTGTAAGGTGATGAAGGACTGGTAGTAGAATTTTCCC